TAGGTGTCCACCACCTGACCTGATCGCACGAGAGCCAAAATCAAAAAGGGCCTCATTTTGGCTTCAGCACATGAAACCTTTTCGCAAGAGAAGGAATCAACAAGAAGGATGAATAAACGGAAATTGCTCAAATAGCAAGTTTCCGTCAATCACAGCACTTGTGATCTATTTCAAAAAAATAATACAACCCAATTTTCGTCTCTGCGCAATGTCAATCTAGCCACCCAAATAATATGATTCAAGTCAGATTCAGGGATGCAACTTGAAAGAAATATTAAATATCGATCATGACATCGATAGTCGATATGATAGTCGATACAGTAGTCGATTCACCAGTCGATACAACTTTGCGAATATCCCTGCACCATTACAGGCCACTGCCACTAAACGCGACAAACAGTATTCTACTGGCAAGAGACTATGATGGAAACAACAATATTCATGGGCATCTGACAAATGTGTAGGATTGGTAAAGAAGAGGACTAAAATAACCTACCAGTCATCCAGTCATGGACATTGAAAATGAAAACATTTAACAAAATGGAATTATGTGAAGGACCTCCAAACCTAGAAAAGAAATCATTGAGTTACGCAGTGCATCTCTACAAAGCTTCCCTATTACCTATTCTCAGAATTCACACTATGGAACATGTAAAGGCAAATCTTCATGTTACAGCGAGATAAGTGAATTCTCTTAAAAAATGAAATATTTTTCGAAATATCAGGAAGTTCAATGATATTTATTTCAATATGAATGTTATCTACCTTGCCAGTGTGCTCGCCCCTAGATTAACATCAACTGCCATTTGAGATATCAATAAAATGTGAAAACTTCATTGAAATCGGTGAAAGCGTTTTCAAGATATATATATAAATATAAAAGAGGAAAGATATTGTGTATGAATACAGAGCAAGAGTATGAAGTAAAAGGTGGTAGGTTTAATCCGTTCCGTGAGTGGAATGTCAATTGGTGCAAGACAGTCTGTTTCAGCTCGCCAAGCATCATCAGTTGCACTAGGCCAATCGACAATCCACTCACGGACCGGTCACTATTTGAAGACCAACATGTAGTCTTCAACAGTGCGGAATACGGATGTTTGGTACAGTGCCCCCTACTAGCACTAGACAGAAACGTGCTTTTCGGGCTATGACGCAGGAGTACAGATATCTCTGTTACTACACCTACGTCCGAGTCAGAGGAGGCCCTCTCCTCTCTTCACGCTGCACCTAATCTTATAAGCTGCATGCTGTCGTCACGCCAGAAGGAATGCCCAGAAGGAGATACTGCAGGATCCAGTCTAGTGAATTTGTGAAAGCATCTTTTTCACTTTGACACTGGACTTCTGAGTCGACTGCTATTAGCACGCGAAGAGGAGTACCTAGGAGGTGGGGCTGAAGCACTTGGCCCAGCAAATCAGCGCAGATCTTCACCAGTGATAGGAGTGATACAGACCACTGTATAGGGCCCTTTTCCTGATTTTTACCAGGTTTTTTCAGGGCCATCTGAAGTTTCAGGAATTAACATGATTCACCACATTCAAATGCAAAACTCCATGTGAAGCTTCACAATGGTACCACGAGACAGCGGTCCTACACTCTAAGAAAAACTGGAACACCAGTTGATACCAGCTGGGTCCTGCATATTTGAATGTTAATTCACACCTATTTGTAGAGCACCGGTGTTTGGTGCCACCTCTGCACATTTCCAGGTGAGATTTGTGATTTCGAAATCGATGTAAAGTAATACCAGTCTAGTGTGTTATGTGCAATATTTTCTGATGAAGTTCGCACTGGTCTGGTGTGAATTACAATACTCATGATCATGAAAAACATCAGTATATTCAAAGTCACACCGGAATGAGTTCACAGAATCATCATCAAATGATCAAATCTGCAATGAATACGGTGTTTATTCACACCAGGCCATTGGATTTTCAACCGGAATTGTGTCAATTCTAAGTGAGGATAGTTCTTCATCTTCAGAATTCTGACACATTCAGGTATGAATTAAAATTGCTTTAATCAATTTTTAATCCATTATAGTGTGAAATATTTTTGTTGAGATATACAGAGTGTCCCAAAATTACTGGGACACAGAGCTATCTCAGGTAATGCAGGTCAGAATAAGTTGATTGGACCCAACTTTTTCATATTGAGAAATGTACCGTTTGTCCGTGAGACGAGTTCAAAGTTTTCATAAATAATAACATTTCCGTTTGTTGTTCCAAATTGAGTGGAACAAATTGGAAGATATTGTTGAAAAGGAATATTCTCAGATAAATTATGGACATACAAAAATGGATATATATATTTATATAATCGGAGAATCCCGAAAGAAATTGTAGAAGGGTTGAAACTACCCCCACCCCTGATTTTTTCTTCAGAACATTCTTATGGGTGGTAGTAGGGTTGCAATTTTTTTTTAGCGAGATGACTGAATATTTATCTTCATCAAGTTACTCATGTGAAAATTTCGTATCATGTATAGTTTCGAGGAAAAAAAATGTTCTTGAATGATGCTCACACATATTTCCATTATATAAAGTTTTATATCATTATAATACAACATTCAGTTGGCAGTGCCAACTAAATTTTATATTACTATTCTATTTATGACTTTCTTGGAGTATCTGTTATCATTATTCAGGGAAAAAATGTGAATGTTCGGAAAAAAATGTCAGGGGGTGAGGGTAGTTTCAAACCTTCTACAATTTATTTCGGGATTCTTCGATTACTGAAAAAAGAGTTATATTCTAAAATCACTTTCATCAAATATCATCCAATTTGTTCCACTTATTTTTGAACAGCGAACGAACATGTGTTGATTTATGAAAACTGTGAACTCGTCTCACGGACAAACGGAACATTTTTTTATTCAAACAAGTTGGATCCAATCAACTCATTTCGACCTGTATCACCTGTGGTAGCTCTGTGTCCTATCAATTTTGGTGTTGTGTCGAAACATCGAGACAATTGTTTCTTCTGATTTTGTCTCCTCAGCTACGATAAACTTTTCTGCGCATTTGAATGATATTTTCATACACTTCATGATAAGAATAATCATGCATTTTACACTGAAAGAGCAAAATGATCCGTGCCAGTGAAAAAATACAGTGCTAAATACTGCTCAACTCTGCAGTGTGGTAGTGACTTAATAATAGGGGCACAGTACACAATGAAGATGCGCAAGGTTGCCAAGCATCACGATATGGAAAAACTAAGTATATGTACCTACTTTTATGATAATTTTATGAACATAGGCAGTAGGTACTCAATTGAAATTGTCCATTATAAGTTCTTGGGAATACTTCCGTTCCATAGACAAACGTGTTTTGGAAAGAAGTTGTTCCACATAATTCTAGATTGACGGCAAAACGATGTGCTGAGTACGTCTGACGAATGGTGTACCAAAATGCATGAAAGCTCTGCAGTAATAACGAAAAATTATACAGAATCATGCAGTCGTTAATTAGAGGGCGTCATTCTCTATTGATATTGATTTCGTTAACTTCTGATCATTATCTTACATCACGATGTTCAAAGTGTTATATATGATATAGGTTTATGTAATATAAAATAGACGAGGTGGCAACAATGTATGGCGACAAATTGGTTTCGATGTTTTTCTGATATCAGTGGTGTTGATTTACAACAATTCCGGTGTCATTTATTCCAGAGATATCAAAAAATACACAGCATCGATTATCAATCTCATTACTAGGTGAATATCTTGAAGAGGAATTATTTGTGTGAATATGGGTTATTCATAAAATTGATAGTCACATGAAAAATATGATAGTTGATCACTTTCATGATATGAATTATGAAAAATAACACCTACCAATGATAATTCTTCAGAACATATGAACTTTGTGATTCATAAATAGTATAATTTGATGTTTACAGTTTGAATTCAAATGATGAGTATGAAAAGTATGATTCCGAATTCAGATTTGCCATAATGTATCACGAATAACACCGTCGAACCCCACGATATGAAGTTCCCAATACTTATGATCGGATAGTACAATGTTGGTGTTGAATAGAGTTAGTGTTGATTCTGATAGTCTGGGATTGAAAAAAAAAAACAACAGTTTTCTTAGAGTGTGGTAAGACATTTTTTTGATGATTTTCTTCAGCTCAACAATCACTAGCATGATGACAATTTCCCCACGTATTCTACAGTGAAATATACTTTTTCCATTCCATTACATATGTTCGAGGTATTTTTCATATATCATCAGTTATGAATATTTGGTTTCCTCGATTATCCAAATAAACTATCGGAAATAAATCTCGAATCCACATCGACTGTTCTCTGGCAAAAAGCAGCCGTTCGCAATGTGTAACTTATTTTGCTTTTGATCTGATTGTGATCATTATCAATGCAATAAAATGTTTGTACGCAACTAGCTCTTAAAGATCTACCCAAGTGAATATACCTCGCTTCGTTTGGTCTGATAGGTTTATTCAGCACGCTGCGATCCTTGAACGCCATTCCACGCAGTTGATAAATTGATAGTTTTTTGTATTTCTAGTGTGCCCCACATCAAAAAATATTGTTCCTTAATGAGTAATATGCTGAGTTTGATATAAAAAATTGCTGAACTGGCAAAAAAAAGCCTTGATTATTGTTGAGTATTCAGAAATTGGTGATTTCTTGGATTTTAGCCTGATTGAGGACCATAAAGATTGAAATACAAAATCTCACGAAGTCTACATGTAGTGCGCAAAATATCGAATCAGAACACTATTTTATTTCGCACACTATATCGCTCACAGTATCGTGGAAACGTAGGAAAATATGAAAGGAAGATCACTCCGCATATTGTCATCAATGCGCGGACTATGTCATATTTCGACGTTTGTAGAAAAAAACTTCTCCCGAGTTTTGCGTATTGTATCTCGAGAACTACTAAATCTCAAAAAATTTTGGCTACCGCACCGTACACGCCAAAACCAACCAAATATCATGGAAACTCCATTTTTTGTATACTCACATCAGCAAACGCATGATTTTCGATTGTATCAATATTATTTTCTGATAAATCAATAGATTTCAGAGCATGAACGTATTTGAATGCATTGTTCTTGATGATCTGTAGTTTGGCAAAAGTAATTTGAAGCCCTTCCAGATCTATGCCAAATCCCAAAAAGTCCTCTGGAGTTATTGAAGGCTGTGACAGTCTTGATAGAGAGAGAGTTCGTAAATTCCTCAACCTGAAATCAATAAAAGAATCATCAACTTCATCAATTGATACATAAGGAGTTTGTTGAATTTGGTCACTTCCTCAACTATACAATAAGGTTTTGGAAAAGAGGGTCGACCTGTAAATAATGTACCTATTCTCGTAATAGTTACTGTATTATTTAGAACATCAAGGTTTCAGTTGTAATGGTTTATTATCAAATGTCACAGTCCTCTTGATATTTCTGAGATGCAAAATGATATGATCGAAGGAGTTATCTGTGATAAAATAAATTGGCAACATATAAAATTCTTATTTCGAAAAATTGCCTGAGTCACTATAGTGAGTGTGTGAAATAGTTACGAAAACCTCAGTTAATTTTTTTTTCTGAAGTGACCCTCGCGGAGCTGCCAGGGGCCAGGTAGCCGTGCGAACAGAGTGTTCATATTCTAATCCGCTTTCGCTTGCCGGTCGTGGGTTAGATTCCCGTCGACTCCAGAAAACTTTCACGTTAAAAAGTAAGGCCCCCGTCATTCCTTGCTCGCACAAGTCTCTCGAAGACATCTGAGGGTTGCTCGTAAAGGAGCAACCGAATGACGGATAGAAAAACTTCAGAACAATTTTTTTTTTAGAAAGATACAGCCCCTCAAAGGGGAGCCACGGAGAATGATTTTGTATTATTATCTCCAACACCTTGTATAATGAATATCTGTTATTCTGTCTATCCATCTACTATTCAGTACCGGTTCGAATGGAGTCAGAATCACCTCAAAATCTGCAACATTCCTTCAGCGTGATTATGACAAATCTGGTCAGCCACATTGGAGCCGCCATAACGCATTGTCAACTGTCATCTGCCAGATTTTAATTTGATCAGACGATAAGAAGTAGGTAAAAATTCAGTTGCGAGATTTGACCTAGATAATTAAACTCAAGTACATACCAAAATCCAATTCAAATGGAATCTTGAGAAAATAAATTTTATTCGCTAATAGTTCATTTTATCGAGATGCAACAAGATCACCTTTTCTATGTGAATAGCCCTGAGATTTCATACTTTCATGTCAAAAAACTGAAATTGCGATGAACAAGAAGTTGGGGTTATTTTAACCCCCTACCTCCCGATTTTGTCACACCCCTGTATTCAATTTTGAGGTGATCTTAACTCCATTCGAACTGGCACTCAATTGTCAGTGAATAAACAAAATTTTAGATTGTCATCATACAAGGTATTGGTCATAATAATACAAAATCATTCTCTGAGGCCCCCCTTTGAGGGGCTGTATCTTTCTTGAGGGGCACTTCAGGAAAAAATGTTACCGAGGATTTCGTAATTATTTCACTCACTCTATACAGGGTAATGCAAATTTCATGGTACACTATTGTTAACTCGGAAACGGAGAGATATGCGAACTACGTTAGATTACGAAAAAAATGCACAATTTCATGACCATTTCAAATATCAAAAGAAATCGAGGACATCCCTCTTATTTCCTGAAATATCCTGAAAAAACTGAAAATAGTCGATTTTCATTATAATCAATAACTTTTGAACTGTTTTTACTAGAGTTTTGAAATTTGGTACACTTACTGAAGGTCGCATGACGAATTCAACGGTGATATGAAAAAAATTCTAGGCACACTAGATTCGAAGATATTGAAGCAAATTTTGATTTTTCTAATGGTCGCCATATTGGATTTTTGCACCATCCGATAGATCAGAAAATTACCAATTCATCGATGTATCACACTTCCATGTTTGATGATGGAATGACGAAAATACAGGAAAAATAGAAAATTAATAATTAAGTTAACGTATAAGATCTGCTATCAAGCTTACAATTTCAGAAATTTCCATTAAACGTAAAAATAATAATATTGAACTAAATTTCTGAGGTGCTCGAAGTGACCCCCTCCATTTTCAAGACAAAGTGCAGCTCGACTGCAAATGTCATTTGCTGCTCTCCGTATGGTTGCTTCCGGTATTGAATTAATTGTTTGTACAATTTGTTCTCGCAAATCTGCAGCGTCTCCTATTGTTCTGGCATAAACTGTATTTTTCAAATATCCCCATAGGTAATAGTCTAACGGATTTAGATCCGGAGATCTAGCGAGCCAGCGTACTGGACCGTTAGTGTCAATCCACTTCCGTGGAAACATTTGATGCAATGTCTGGGTAACCAATGCTGCATTGTGAGCAGGAGCACCGTCTTGCTGAAACCACATTTGGTGGATCTGATTAATGGGAAATCCATCCAATGAGGGTTCAACACTATCTCTCAACAGGTTCCTATAAGTTTTCTCCGTTCAGGCGATCTTCAAGAAAAAATGGACCCAGAATTCGACTATTGAAGATGCCACACCAGACATTAACCGAGAATCTTATTTGATGACGTGATTCTTTCTTGAGCTTTGGATTCTCTGTGGACCAATAATGCTCATTGTGACGATTGAAAAGGCCATCATTTGTAAAAAGGCACTCATCTGACCACAGCACTTTCAATGGGAAATTTACATCATTGTTCACCCTATTCTGTAACCATTCACAAAAAAAGGATCGCCTGGCAAAATCTTCTCGACTGATTCCTTGTACTACATGATAATGATAAGGGTGGAATTTTTGCTTTTTGAGTATTCTACTAGCTGTAGATTGATGGACATTACAGTGCCTTGCAATAGCATAAGTTGATATGTTTGGATTAATGTGCACTTGTGTTAGGATATTTATAACGTTAAGATTCAACCCTCTTCTCATTCCATACCTAGGTGAATCAGAAAGTTATTTATGGAAGAATACAAAAATGTTAATACATATCTCACCTTGAACGCCTTGTTGCAAGAGTTCCATCTTGTCTGATCTTCTGTGCAATCCTTTGGAAATAATTTCGCGAAGGCTGAATCCGTTCAGGGTATAAATTTTCATACATTTCACTAGCTCGCGTCGAATTTCGAAAGCAGCGAATGTAAACATCATACATATCACTCCTTTCTTCAATGCTGTAAACATTCACCATCTCTATTTGGTTTCAGTAGAGATGTGAACAATTATAATTTTCAAATTCTCAGAATGACAGATGAATTTTTAATGTTCTAATATCCAGAACTGAAAACTGGACATTGTGACAGCCGCCTCCTTGACATTGATGAACTGGCTGGCACGTGTCGAATCCCGTACACAGCGATGTACAGGATGTTTCTTAAGTATGTGTAGAAAATTCAGGAGCAGATTGTGATACGAAGCTCAAGAAAGATTCATGCCATCAAAATATTATCGGTTAATAGGTGATACGGCATCTCCAATAAACGAATTATGGGTCCATTTTTTCTTAAAGATTGCCTGGACAGAGAAAACTATGAGTTTCTTTTCAACCGAAATCACCAAATGTGGTTTTAACAAAATGGCGCTCCTGCCCAAAATGGTGCATTTGGTTTCCCAGATGTTGCGTCAAATGTTGAACAAAGATGGATTGGTCCAGACGGTCCTGAGCGCTGGCTTGGCCTGCTAGATCTCCGGACCTGAATCCATTGAACTAGATCCTATGAAGATATTTGAAAAATACAGCTTATTGCAAAATAATCAGAGACGCTGCAGATTTACGAGAACAAATCGTATAAACAATCGATTCAGTACAAGAGGCAACCATACGGAGAGCAACAAATTACATTATTTGCAGTCGAGTATCACGTCGAGCACCTCAGATATTGAGTTTCATATTATTTTTCCTGTATTTTCGTCATTCCATCATCAAACATGGAAATGTGATACATCGATGAATTGGTAATTTTTTGATCTATCGGATGGTGCAAAAATCCAATATGGCGACCATTAGAAAAATCAAAATTTGCTTCAATATCTTCGAATCTAGTGTGCCTAGAATTTTTTTCATATCACCGTTGAATTTGCCATGCGACCTTCAGTAAGTGTACCAAATTTCAAAACTCTAGTAAAAACAGTTCAAAAGTTATTGATTATAATAAAAATCGACTATTTTCAGTTTTTTCAGGATATTTCAGAAAATGAGAGGGATGTCCTCGATTTCATTTGATATTTGAAATGATCATGAAATTGTGCATTTTTTTCGTAATTTAACGTAGTTCGCATCTCTCTCCGTTTCCGAGTTAACAATAGTGTACCATGAAATTTGCATTACCCTGTATACTCCAAAAGTTTGACCACCTTTTTTAGAATCACCTTGTAAAATGATGCATTTCTATCGTGCTTGAGGAGAAGAGAGTTATTCACAATGAAAAAACAAATATATCGGTGGTGCATAAACTGTTGCATGTATTTCGGGCGTAACTTGCTTTCATGAAATTAGAAGGTTATCGCTAGGGCTCTCACACGATACAGTCTATAAAAGCCTATTTTGTATCTCGACTCGTAGCAGAGGAAGACAAGAACGAAACCGTGAACTAAAATCTAATATCTTTTCCGTGTATAATACCTTTTTTTTTTGTGACTTTTAAGGACGAATGGAAATTGGGAAGATATTACATTATGATAAAACCAGCAAATAATCGAAGTGAAATTTTCAACAGAAGTTACACCTGCGTTGCAGGCATCTTTTTGCAGGCATCTTCATCATTCTTTCGAAGAAATCAAATATCTGTCAGTCTACTTTTGTGATTTGATTTCGAAAAATTGCGAACTCAATAGCTGTTCAGTAATTTACGTTACCATGAAGAGAAATGGAAGATGAAAGGACATGTGGTGGAGGAGACGGTGTTAGTGGTTTATTTTTTTGGGACTAACACAATAAAAGTAATTCATGGAAATTGAAAAAATAACTATTCCTTGTTCCTACACGTCAAAAGTCATTATATGATTCTGGCTAATATGATATTCTCAAGTTGCTGTCATAGCTTATTATAAACATTATAATAATTGTTATCAGGTATGGTTTCCAAATAATTGAATCGCAATGTAACATTTTTCACCAACATACTGTCAACATAATAACTTGTACCCTGTTCCTGATATAATACATGGATGAGCAAAAGGTATAGGCATATCGATAGATTCCACAGGTA